GTGTGGCACTCGGCAGGTCGGTCCGCAACACGCCCTATGTTGCGCTCGGCTATTTGCAACATCGCCAATGTTGCAAACACGTGTGGTGGGTAGGGTGTTGTGCGCCGCAAGATCAAGTGCTGATCGGACAGTTGCGGTCTCACGGAGGTGGTTCACGCGCGTGAACGATCAGTCAATTGAGGAGAAGCATTTTCCCAAAAATAAGTACACAACTGAATTATCATTTTATGAACTGAAACCGAAAATTGTAAGAGAAAGCTTGATTGTCAAGTACAAGGCAATGCAATGCCTTTCTCAAAGCCTCGATTTTCTCAACTCTTTATATATAAAAAATTACTCCTGTAACAAGAATTGCAAGAACTTGCACAAGAGTAGAGTATCATGGTTACCACGAACACCAAATGACGTACACTTTCTGCAAATTCCAGTGTATCCTGGATATATGTGCAAATACCACACCCCTCTCTTGTCCCCTAATCAAGAAATTAGGGAGTAAAAGGGCTATAAATAAAAAATAAATAGTTTTTTGAAGGAGAAAGGGAATATCCTATCAAGCAAAAATGACATATCCAGGAAGCCAAGATTGTCACAATGGAGCTTTAAAAAAAGATGATCACAATGGTTGCATGGACCCATGAGTTCCTAATTGAGGTACGTTGTGAGGGAAACAAACAGTCACCAGTTAAGTACGTAGTAGTAAATAATCTCAGCAAGTTGGTGAGCATCTAGGGCATTCATCTACAATTTGCGTTTGGGTTGTGTGAAGGAAGGCAGAGTCAGGTGAGCATCTATGGCATTCATCTACGGCCATGAAGTACATCATTGTCGTTGTTAAGGTTTAGGATGCGGAGGTAATTCGAGGTGACAGTAAAAGCCTATCGCTCTTAGTATTTGCAATTGACAGGGGAATAATGGAGAACCCTAGAGAGGTCGCATCCATGGGGAGACCTTTAATTATCATGAGCTGTAACCCTCTAGGGGAGACTATGATATTGGAGTGCGTGGCACGAAGTCTACCATGAGTAGAACATGTACTGTACCCGGCTCCGCCCAGCATAGTCGTCAACAGTGACTCGAATATCTGGTATATACTATGCTTATGCATATGTGCGTTAGAAACATACCAATGGGGATTCCAAACTCCCCGAGAGCGCCATTTTGTTCCGTTGTTTCACTAGTCATCACAATCCTCACACTTTATTTACTTTTTATGTTATTTAGTTACAAGTTCCAAACACTACTCAACAATCCTTTTCATTCGCCCTCACTCTGCTTTGAGTCTACAATTGTTTGCGGGCACAAAAGTACATAATTCTCTACAACAGGCAAAAGTCTGATTCATGTACTCCCTGTGGAATCGATACTCTTACTTTGAAAAGGTTACAATTAAAACATGTGCACTTGCAGGCAATCAGCCACCCTACTTAAGCACAGCGCGATGAAGCCAGAGGTATCCATAGGATCACGGCGGCAAGGCACGGACTCTACCTACCTGATTCCTCTTTCTCTCCCACGTGAGAGCTAGCCCTTCTCCCAAACCAAATGTGTGTATGTCCTGATTCATACCATCGAGAGGAACGAGTTCATCTTAGCACCTAATCGACCCACGGTGCTAACATCAACCATAATAAAACTACATCAAGGTCTCTACCATCGAACGGCTGCTACCGCTGCCAGAACAAGCAGTCAATGCGCCACTGTACACAGCTACATGTGATTTTTAGGCATTTTTGGGTGCAAACGAGTGCACGGATCACAAT